TGTGCAGTACTGTGTGGTACTGTGGAGTACTGTAGTACTGTGTAGTACTGTGGTACTGTGGAGTACTGTAGTACTGTAGTACTGTGCAGTACTGTAGTACTTTGGAGTACTGCGCCTGAAGGTGCTGATGCTACTAGTGATACATCATGGTGTTACCATGGCAACCAAAGCGCTTCATTTCCTCCATTCAAACAGAAAGACTACAACACGCCCACATCAGACTCCGTCTACAAACCAATCAGAGTCAAGTATAGGTAGACTCCGCCCAGGTAGGTGGTGACGACAGGACGTACGTGAGACAGAATTCTTTAGTCTCTGAATCACAAAGTGAAACTAAAACTAACAGATGAGATGAAACATGAACAAACAGGAAGCTTCAGACTCGGAGAGGAAACGTTTTCAGGAACTCCACCTGGAAGTTTTCATGACTCTGGATTTGACTGTTGACTTGTTTATTGTCATTAACTGAGGATCTCATTTACTTTGTGTGAATCTGACTCTGGAGTTGAGTCTGGATTGTCTTCCTGGTTCTGGTCTTGCTGCAGCGCCACCTGCCGGTGCTGAGGTGTCTGTCCTCTTATGTCCACATGTGTCATCACTGTTGTTCCCTCCTGCAGTTCCACAGAGTGTCCCACCTGCCGGCTCTCCGGTGCTGATGGTACCTCAGTCCACTCGCACCCCTCCCTCAGACAAGACACGGAGAGCCCCCCCTCCAACACCGCCCAAACCCAGGCGACCAAGTTAGTAGAGGCCAGGGGGCGGGGTTGAGGGCGGGGCTGGGGCTGGAGGCTCACCTGGTTTCCTTCCACCTGAACTCAAACATCCTGCCTCTGCCTCTCTGCGTTTCCTGTTTGTAGCATGTGCAGCAGCTGCTTCGTCTTCACTGCTAGTCCGCGGGGGGGCGGAGCCTCTCTGAGGGATAAAGACGCATGAAAGCTTCAGCTCAGAAACATGAGCGACGCTGATGATCAGGTTTTTAAACATGGTCGTCTGTTGAGAAATCATTTATCTGCAAATATTCTGATTAGGTACGTTTATGAATTTGAGTACAAATATATGTATTTTACAAGTTCTAGCTGATACTACGTCATCAACTCTGTTGTTAGAGCTTTTTAATGGTTGCTAAGAGACGGAGAAACGAGACTCCACCTACGTTTTTATCAGGATCAACAAAAGTGAATCTGATCAAACTTTCAGGTTTTAAATTTAATATTTCAGACGTTATATTTCATAATGTTCAGATTCACATTCAGTTATTCAATAATTCATGAAACGTGAAACTCTGATGACATCATTCTATAAAAACAGGTTTATGTTTTTATCATCCAGTGTGTGTGTGTGTGTGTGGGGGGGGGGGGGACGTGCACGCTCCTGCGCACATGCACGCTCTGTAGATTTGAACAAAGACGTCACTGAATAGATTCTGAACATTTATTTTGAATATGAATAAGTTATCAGTTTTTGTTTTAAGGCCCCGCCCCTTTATAAAAGGCTTATTGTTTTCTTAATTAACTTAGCATGTGACCTCTAATTAAACCGTATGTGACCTTAACATGTGAATAATGATTTCATATATTTAAATGTTCTTCATCACCTGCTTCAGCTTCAGTGACTCTTCTTCCTCCATCTAACACCAGCCTCCTTGTGAAACTGTTATCATCTGAACATGTTATTTATTTTAATTTGATGGTTTGATTCAGTTCTGAACTTCCTCCTCTTCCTCCTCCTCCTCCTCCTCCTCCTTTGGACTCACTTCATCTCATTTCATCTTTGCTGCTCTTTCCTTTCAGCCTCAGTAAAACCTGCTTCTCTCAGCTCACTAACACAAACTCACTGTTACATTGATGATCTCAATCTGGACTTTTACACTGAATTCAGGATTAAGTCTGGATTCAGGATTGTTATTTATTTATTGTCTGTTGTTAGTTTAGTGTTTCAATAATTCAGCTTTAGATTTTGCATTTAAACACAGTCTTGTGTGTTTTTTTACTTATTGACACATTCAGATTAAATATTAAATCATGAAATTATTCTATAAAATGCCCTAAATTAATATATGAGTCAGTAAATATATGTTTATTTTTGTATTTTGTAAACGCTGATACAAAAATAATGTCTGGAGAAACTGAATTATTCCAACATTTACTGTTTTTGTGTGTTAAAGTCTAAAATGTAAAACTTAATGAACCTCAGGTTTTTAAAAGCTAAACATGAAAGTTAGTTCAAACTGTTGAAATCTGATCTTATTGAGTTTTAGTTACACTTCTTAACATCAGCTCACGAAGTTAGAATCAGTTTGAAGTTTTCTCCTGAAGATTTGGTCTTTTTGTTAGTTTCATGTAAACGTCCCCTCCAGTCTAACCAGTGTGCTGCGTCTCCTCCTGATTGGTCCAACAGCCTGTAACCCGAACGCCTGCAGAGCGTCGGGCCGCGGTCTGCAGCCGAAAGGCCTGAGGGTGAAAGAAGTGGCAGATTTTAAAGTTTACACTAAAGGAGGCGGCAGCGGTGAACTCGAGGTCACCGTGAAGGGACCAAGTAAGACGCCACCGCTCACTGATCAGTTTTGATTTGTTGACCATTGCCGTCAAAGTGATATTTTGATGTTGAACTCAGACGGCCTGGAGGAGCCGGTGAAGGTCCTGGAGATGGAGAACGGTGTGTTTGAGTGTAATTATTATCCCATCGTGACGGGAAAATACATCGTCACCATCACCTGGGGAGGACACAGCATCCCACGCAGGTGAGACTCTATCACCTGAGCCACCGACTCAGCAGCAGATCCTGTTTAAACTAAATGTTTTAGTGATTTACTGATCGTCTCCATGTAAACACTGAATAATAAGGGATGGAGTCTTGAGGAACTCCAGAGGTTCAGATTGTGAAGAATAATATTCTGCAGCTTTTCATGAAGCACAGTACCAGTTTGGCACTTACTTATAGTTTTTGGTATTAAAATATATTTTATATCTTTATGTCTAACGGCGGATGAAGCACAAACAGTTTTCAGTTAAATCAGTTAAATCTTTAAATGTTTAATAATGTTTCACATTTTGTTTTCAGTCCGTTTGAAGTGCAGGTGAGTGAGGAGGCGGGGCCTCAGAAGGTGAGGGCCTGGGGCCCGGGTCTGGAGACCGGAATGGTCGGGAAGAGTGCGGACTTTGTGGTGGAGGCCATCGGGACGGAGGTGGGAACGCTGGGTACGTGTAGACGAAACATCGGCACACAAATGACTAAAGGGAACACTGAACGGGACTCCTGATGGAACCGCACAGTTTGGAATGAAAGTAAAACACACTTTCTGTTTTGTCACAGAATATTGAGGCAGTTGGAAATCTGTTGTTTGTAGTTTCACATTATTCCAGGGAAACAGATAAACACCAGTGTCATCAGCAAATATGAGCTGAGATTTCATTTCGAAGTTAGATGTTTGAGTCACGGTGTTTTGTTCAGGTTTCTCCATCGAGGGCCCGTCTCAAGCTAAGATCGAGTGTGACGATAAAGGTGACGGATCATGTGACGTTCGTTATTGGCCAACTGAACCTGGCGACTTTGCCGTCCACGTCATATGTGACGACGAGGACATCAAGGACAGTCCGTTCATGGCTCACATCGTTTCTGCTGTCAACGACGTCTTCCCAGAGAAGGTTTGACCGCAACCTTTCAGATGATTGAACACATACGTGTATATTTACTGTGAATCACGTGTTGAACGTTCTCAGGTGAAATGTTACGGTCCTGGTCTGGAGCCTCTCGGCTGCATCGTCAACAAACCTGCTGATTTCACCATCGATACTCACGGAGCCGGACGAGGAGAACTGAAGCTCTATGCTCAGGTGACCTTCAGCTGGTTTTAATCAAACATGGTTGTTCTGTGGTGATGCAGCGACGTGACGAATGTGTTTGTGTGTCCAGGACGCCGAGGGTTTCCCCATCGACATACAGATCACAGACAACGAGGACAGCACCTTCCTCTGTGTTTATATTCCCACCAAACCCATCAAACACACCATCATCGTCACCTGGGGCGAAGTCAACGTGCCCAACAGCCCGTTCAGGGTACGAAGCCTCGTTCACTAAAACACAACGAAACTGATTTTTAAAAATCCTGATAATAACTGAAATCTGTTATATTTCATATTTAAAGGATCATTTCATAGATCAGTTGTACATCATCCACATATCAATATAAATTATAATTACCGATGTTTATTTTGACACAGAGACGGAACCAAAGAGGACCCAGGTCAGAACCCTGAGTTTCTCCGCAGGCTCAGATTTAAATGAAATTATGTAAAAATATAAAATGTTTCTTCATCTGTTTTTGTTTATTTGTTGATGAGCTAATGATTTTAATTAAAATTACAGAAACTGTTCTGAAACTAAGATAATCAAAGCAAATACAAATGTAGAAGAAATATATATACATATAAAACGTTATGTCGCGGACCAGGTGACGATCGGTGAAGGCAGCCATCCGGAGAACGTGAAGGTTTACGGTCCAGGTGTGGAGAAGACGGGACTGAAAGCCAACGAGCCGACGTACTTCACCGTGGACTGCAGCGAGGCTGGACAGGGTCAGCTATCTCATATATATACATATATATACATATATTTATAATGTGATATTTTCACATCATTGCTGATGGTTTGTTTTTTCCTGCAGGTGACGTCAGCATCGGGATCAAATGTGCTCCAGGTGTGGTCGGACCTGCCGAGGCCGACATCGACTTCGACATCATCAAGAATGACAACGACACTTTCACAGTGAAGTACATGCCCCCGGGTCCCGGACAGTACACCATCATGGTTCTGTTCGCTGATCAGGTGAGACGCAGGTCAACGAACTCTGAAAGAAACACTGAGCTCACCGGAACGCACCTGAAAGCACCTCTCACCTTTTATATTACAACAGGAAATACCCATCAGCCCCTTCAGAATAAAGGTGGACCCTTCCCATGATGCAGCCAAAGTCCGAGCAGAAGGACCTGGACTGAATAAAACAGGTGAGAGAGAAACTTTAGAGAAAGAAACAGAAAAGTAAAAACGGAGCCTCATGATGTCATATCTTCTACTTCAGGTGTTGAGGTGGGAAAACCAACTCACTTCACTATTTACACGAAAGGAGCAGGAAAAGCCAAACCTGAGGTTCATTTCACTGCCGCCACTAAAGGTGAAGCCGTCAGAGACTTTGAGATCATCGACAACCACGACTACTCCTACACCGTTCGCTACACGGCCATCCAGCAGGTGAGACCACGCCCTCTCTGCTGTTCAAATGTGAAGACGAGCGGTGGAGCTCAGTTGACCATGTTCACTGTTTCTCTCAGGGAAACATGTCCGTCACAGTTTGTCACGGAGGAGACCCCATCCCTAAAAGTCCCTTTAACATCAGTGTGGCGCCCCCTATGGAACTGAACAAGGTCAAAGTTCAAGGGCTGAACAACAGTAAGTGAAACATCAAACAGTAAAGTATCATTAAGATTGAAATCATGGAAATCAAAGAGGTTTCTCTGTACTGACATCGTGTCTGTTTGATCAAACTGAAGAGGTGGATGTTGGGAAAGATCAGGAGTTCACCATCAGTACACGAGGAGCTGGAGGTCAGGGAAAACTGGAGGTCAAGATCACCTCCCCATCTCGTCGACCAATCCCCTGCAAGCTAGAGTCTGGCACAGCCAATGAGCTTCACACGGTGAAATACATCCCCCCCGAGGAGGGGCCGTACAGAGTGGATATCGGCTATGACGGAAACCCTGTCCCAGGAAGTCCGTTCACTGTGGAGAGTGTGATGCCGCCTGACCCGACCAAGGTGCGTCAGAAAAGATCTGAGTCTCCTGAACTTAATGTTTTTACTCATCAAATAAAACTTTTTAAATAAAAATTTAACTAATTCATTTCAATCTTTTTTTTTAAACGCCCCCTGGAGGCTGAGATCAGTTAAACGCCCCCTGCAGGCTGAGATTAGTTAAACGCTTCCTGCTGGCTGGGATTAGTTAAACGCTTCCTGCTGGCTGGGATTAGTTAAACGCCNGATTAGTTAAACGCTTCCTGC